ATATATATATATATATATATATATATATAATTATGTAAGAATCAGTCCTTTATCCCAATTTTTGGCGTATAGTTTAATCGTGCATCCCTTTAATACACGTTTTTTTAAATGTTACTTTTGGAAACATTTAGAAATAAATTATTTTTTTATTTGTTACTGATACGTTATAGCTTGTTATTGCCTTTGATACGGATTTCGGTACACGCTGCATAACGTACCCGAATCGAGAGGACCGGGAAATATGAAAACAGTTGAATGAACACATATTCTCTTAACGAGAAAATTCTGAGGGAATTATGAAAGGGAATTGTTGGAGGGAAATATGAAATCACAAACCGAGACAAGGTAACATCTAGTTACTTAGAAAATAAGTAAATCTGAATTAATAAAATTCTATATGTACCACGGGCGTTCTAATGATCTCGGGCACTCTGCCGCCGCTCGATCATTACAACCCTTACATGTAAGTGGGGCGTGTGCCGCAGGTGGCGGACCCGCTGGTGGTGGAGCTGGCGCAGGGGCGCGCGCGCGGCGCCGAGGCGACCACCTACCTGGGGCGGCGCGTGCGCGCGTGGCGCGGCCTGCCCTACGCCGCGCCGCCCGTGGGCGCCCTGCGCTTCCGCCCGCCCGCGCCGCCGCCCAGCTGGAACGGCACGCGCGACGCCGCCGCCGAGGGGGCCGCCTGCCCGCAGATGGTGCTGCTCTCCAGGCAGTACGAGGGCCGCGAGGACTGCCTCTTCCTAAACGTGTACGCGCCCTACGACGCCAAGGTGGGTTCAGGTGGTCTTTCGTGCCGTCTGGGGCTGAGGTGGTCTTTAAAGCTCTCTGGAGTAGAGATGGTCTTTAATGCACTCTAGGGCTGAGATGGTCTTTAATGCTCTCTGCTGCTGAGATGATTCTTTAACACTCTCTGGAGCTGTGATGGTCTTTAATAGTATATGGAGCTGAGATGGTCTTTAATGCTCTCTAGGGCTGAGATGGTCTTTAATGCTCTCTGGGGCAGAGATGGTCTTTAATGCTCTCTGGGGCAGAGATGGTCTTAAATGCTCTCTGGGGCAGAGATGGCCTTTAATGCTCTCTGGGGCAGAGATGGCCTTTAATGCTGTCTGGGGCAGAGATGGCCTTTAATGCTCTCTGGGGCTGAGGTGGTCTTTAATGCTCTCTAGGGATGAAATGGTCTTTAATGCTCTCTGGGGCAGAGATGATCTTTAATGCTCTCTAGGGCTGAGATGCTCTTTAATGCTCTCTAGGGCTGAGATGCTCTTTAATGCTCTCTAGGGCTGAGGTGGTCTTTAATGCTCTCTGCTGCTGAGATGATTCTTTAATACTCTCTGGAAATATGGTCTTTAATAGTATATGGAGCTGAGATGGTCTTTAATGCTCTCTGGTGCTGATAGGGTCTTTAATACTCTCTGGAGGTCAGATGATCTTTAATACAGTCCCTGGCGCTGAGACGGCCTTAAGTACACTCTTTGGTGCTGAGATATCTTGAGTACAAATGCTCCCTACTACTTCTGGTGTTGCGATCATGTGCTCTCCAAGAAATACGGAGGCAACGCGGACTGACAATTTTTCAATATTCGCTAGAGCAGAACCAAAAATGGATGGGTATCAGCAAGCTGCTAGAGCTTTGGTCATCCAGGTCTCGTTCACGTGTTGTATGGGGATTTCATTTAAACTCTAATTGACGGTGCTGTTTTCCAAGCGGCATGAAGATTAGAACTATCTGATCGTCAACAAGTACTCTATCTTTGCATGTTGATAAGTGGAGTATGTTTCAATCGTGCAGTTTTCTTGCCGTTCGTGTTGAGCTGATTCAGAAATAAAGATTGAGAACAAGCGTACGCTAAGAAATAGTTACATGGGCTTTTGAGCTATCCTGAGTTATCATGAGGATTTATGTTAGAAAGTCACTAAAACAATAAATCCATTTAAAGAGTCAATAAAGATACGAGAGTTTCATACGAAATTCCGAGAACAATTACAGAACGCTTCAGTCCCATATCTCAGCGAAATATGACGGTTGCGAGCTATTACCAGTGTGGCAAATGATAATACTAACCAAACATATAGGGTTATTTGTTGTCACTTCCGTTCTCTATATCTGTTATTAGACAAGTTTGCAGAAAAGAGATTATTACATTTAATATCTTATCATTAAGTTAAACCCAGAACTCAATACACAAACTGATGTTTTAATCTTGAGTTTACTTCTCTCAGGGTCGTATTGTCTCTTCTTGATCCTCTGTGAAAAAAACGCAAGAGTGAGGGCACCACAAATTGCTTACTGAATTGAAAAGTAACATGTGGTTTGATTTAGATTTCATTTTCCTAATTGTCAATGTTCTAGATTTAGATTTCATTTTGCTAATTGCTAAATGTCAATGTTCTTGTTTTGAAGACGTCATTGTTCGTGACATGTTCAGTCAAATGATAAGAAAATAACTGAGAAACGAATAAATCAGTTAAATTTCAAACACTGTCGATTGGTCATTGCCACTACACGGTGGTCAAAATATCACCAATTGCCCACGGTGAAGTATTCATAAACACTTCAATTCCCATAGAAAGCAGCGTCGGATGTCAAACAAAATTTGGAGGCAACTATGTTTAGTCGACTGGGCGTATCACACAAAACGAAGAAACGATGTCAGTAAAACAAGAGTTCGTTAGGTTAAAATAAAACTAAATAATTATTGATTGTGGTACTATTTGGCTCAAGGTGTAGTTGACCAGTGGTCCAATAGTAATTTAAAAAGAAATCAATCCACGCTTGTGGGTTATGTCACGTGTTTCTTCCTGGCTTTGAACTTCTCGAATCAAACCAATCAAGCTATTTGAGTAACAAATCGAACAATGTGCTTAGTGCGTGGTAGTGATATCGTCATCATATCATCATCGGTCATGAATTTCATCACCACCAACACCCGCCTCATCAGCCGATATACTGATCTCTTACGTATTTTGAGTCCGCGGGTGACGGTCGAATAGCCCTCGCTGGCTCAGCGGTTAGCATGCTCACTTTCCGCGGCGCGACCCCGGGTTCGGTTCCTGGCCGAGGCTAATTATAACTGTGCGCTTTTCTTACAAATGTCCCAATTTATATTGTTGTGTGACGCTGACAAAGCCAATCTTAAGGTGATGAGGACCAGACTGTACGGTTAAGGGATGTCTCTCTGCGACTAAGAGTCTCGGCCACCGCTGGTCGGTCGCGTCCCGTATCGGCCCGTCGAGCCAAGAACAGGAACAGGAGCAGGAGCAGGAGCAGGAGCAGGAACAGGAACAGGAACAGGAACAGGGGCACAGCGTGGCGGTGGTGTTGCAGGGGCTGCCGGTGCTGGCGTGGCACCACGGCGGCGCCTTCGTGGAGGGCCACGGCGGCGCGCGCTGGGGCGGGCCCGAGTACATCATGGAGCAGCCGCTCGTCTTCGTCACCTTCAACTACCGCCTGGGGCCCCTGGGCTTCCTCAGCACGGGCGACAGCGCCGCGCAAGGTAAGCCCCGCCCCCGCCCAACCACACAGCGCACGGACGCACCCGCTCCAATTGACACAACCGTTCGCGCCACCCCCGACTAACAAGAGCATCTAAAACTGTAGTATCCAAAAGAAAGCAATTACTAAAAATGGATTTATTCCAACCACAATCAGTACAGAGGTAGACAAATTCAAGCCAGATCTAAACAATTTTCCAGAAGATGTACCGAAGAATGTCCAAGTCACAATTTCCCGCGGAGATGTCCAAAATCGCAGCTGTTGTGCCGTTCACTGTTCCAGGAGAGAGAAAGTCTGTAACCGCAACTCTGTCATCGCACTTGTTCACCATCCACTTATCACTTCAAAAACGTTTATGCAAAAGTTAATAACGAACACCAAAAATAATATTTTCTTCCGAGAAATAGTGTACACATTCTTTATTCACCCCTTTACCGTAATCAGGCTCGCTGTTATATTTGGTGTTTTCCCCGCTAATAACTGCTACCCCTCACCGTTGGGTCTCTTCACTGAACTTTTCTAGGGGGACACGCCCCCTGGTGCTCTCCGTTTTTGCGAATGTGTTGAAGGCAGAGACATGTCTTTTCAGCGACGACTACCAGGGTCCTCGGGACGTGGTACAGCAATAAACAAAACAAACAACAATCAATAAACAAAACAAACCGCAATAAACAATCGTTCGTCGCGCACCCAGGAGGAAGAAAAGCTTGTAATTTCCAAACGCTTTAAACAGTTTGCAAGCGCCGTGAGGCGCAATGAACAGCGAGTCAATGTCTCGCGAGATTATTTAGGACCCGAGAAAAATTGACAATGGAGAAACTTCTTTGACTCCAAATCTAGCCTTTTAAAATGTTTAGTTACATCATTGTTTGCGGCCATCACAGTGAGAGTTTAGAGTTGGTATGGGTAGGTCTGGACACACTGTATAGTACTCAACAACAAATTGGCTCGAAGCGAAAGTTCGTCAGTGTAGTTCCCAATTCGAATACGCCCTCTCCGATAAAGTGTGTCCAGGCCTGCAAACGATGTTGATGGATTCTAAAACAATTGTTCATTATCGAAGACCACATCCCTTGACTAATTGTATTCTTTCGCCTGTCGATTTGTCAGTAGCAACAGCTCCAGCCGCAATGCCTCTGGAATGCCAGTTTAGTGATTGAGATTAGGGATAGTTTTCACTAGTTTGTGCCGATGTCATGTCTAAAATAAGTACTGGAAGAATTCAAAACATCAGTCAGAAATCGTGTGAGAATATTAAAATGAATTATCTGATAGATAAATTAAATATGAGGCCACACTCGAAGGCAAACCAACTGACTATAATCACAAAATATCAAAAAGCTCGCGCTATTCGCTTCTATCATGGCTACATTGAAAATCGAAATAGACCAATTTTAATCAAGGAATAATCCGTGAAAGTAATTGTTTAAAGTGTACTTACCGATAAATTCTAGAATACGAATTGTTTTTGTACGAACTTTTTTCCAGTTGGCGGATTATGAAAATAAGTACTATATCCGCCAGCAGACGCTTGTCAACGTCTGTGAAGTTAATGCGAAACAATTATACATGTGTGTCACCCACCACGCCCACCCACCTTTTAGTTTTTAATAATAATAATAATAATAATAATAATAATAATAATAATAATAATAATAATGCCTTTATTAATTGCGAGGCCCAGACCATAGGGCCTGTTCTTCAGCCTAACCACGAATTTACATACATACAAAGTAGTAACATTTTAAGAGAGGGAGGCCAAGCTGTATATTTACGTCCGGGACTATCCCGGCATACGCCTTACGCGATTGAGTAGCCGTGCCCGTGTCAAGATATTTCATCACATGTCCGAGTGCAGTTCATCGGTCCTTTGCGTCTCCGCGCTCGGCCGCAGACTTGCACCTTCGACGGGACGCCGTCATGCATAAGCGTGAGCTCAGGGGGGCAGGGGGCCGTGAGCTTTAATTGTCAAGAGGCCATGACCCCTTGATAATTTCAAAAGGGGCCCTTAGCAACGCTTAATGAAACATTTTACTTCCGTAAATACGATCAATTCCTTCTTATCACCTTTTTAAGCTGACGATTTGGAAACTTGATGCACGAAGGGGCTCTCTAAGCCTGGCAAATGTGTATATGTTTCAACGTTATAACAATAATATTTATTAACTGTTTCATTAAAGTTATAATTACATTCTTTATATATTTCCCATAATAATATGTTAAATGTAAATAAAAACGTTGAAGGGACAAGGAATGCCAGAGGGGCAATTGTAGTTGCTCGCCCCCGTGTCGTTTTAGGCGGCGCCCGTCTTTGCCGCCGGGTGAACGCTGTGGAGGCTTCCGGTGCTGCGTTGCCTGAGCGAGCGTTACTGCGCGGAGAATGCTGTTGGTGCTATTGGTGCGGACGAAGGACGAGAGAACGGGCGACGCTATAGTGAACAGTGGGGAGATCTGGAGTATCATATTTATTATTACCCACAACCCCACTGCGTGCAACTTCAACCCCAATATTATGCAAAGAACTCAATCAAATATTCTTGCAAAGCTAGAACAGCAACAATGGTCAGGAAAGAAGCTTGAAAACAGTGGTTTGTAGATTTGGTAATGAAGTACCATTAGTTTAACTTAAATACCCTCTACCAATATTTGTCCTGTAACAATACATGTACATTCTTTTAACTTGCTAATAAGAATTAGCACTGGATAATTTATCCACTCGTGGTCTCCTAAAATTGCGAAATAGCATTCCTACCCATCTGTAAATTGGACAAACAGAGGCGGCAATGTCGTGAAGTAATCAGAATGACGGTGCTTGGCCAGGAGGGGCCCGGGGGGGGGGGCGAGGCATTCGAATCGTTTACGACCCGCGACGGCACGTTTCCGTCACTTCCGCCGAGACGTCGTGTGACGTGCTCGCTAATAGACGCTGACGAAGCCACCTCCACCCTAAACTCCCAGTCAGGCCCCAGATTCACTCTTCATCGCGTCTGACTCTAATACTTCAGCTTGACGCTACCTCTGCGATAGATAAATGACTTGGGGATACGCGATAATGATGACGGAGCCTATGCCTATAAACTTATATCGTTTACGTTTTTGTTAAACATGTCGACGTGAAAACTGCGGCATTAGATTCTGAGCGTCAGTGGATGTATTCTCTTTTCTCCGCACCTCCTCGAGGCCTCTATCATCCGTTTTCAAACCTTTCACGTAACACCCCCTTCCACGGAGGCCTCATTCTGACCGAAACCTTCCAACTTTAACTGACTAGTAACCCAGCCTAAGGCTACTCTGAGATCAATGGATGATTTGAAGACACGAGATGATGGTGATAAGGCAAATATCGCGGTCATAGACGGGGGAAACCCGAGAAAACCTACCGCGAACGCACTGAGTCTACATTCGATTTCACGTCGAGTGTACGTCCAACTCCTACACCCACGGATAGCACGCAGATCGCTTACTGTAGGAATCAAAATATTTGTTGTGTAATCTCTGACTCTGCCGTAATGTCTGTCTCGTGTAGGTCCTGCTCTGACGTCATTCCTAACCGAATCACTGACTTTTAAAATCATTCACATCATCTGCCCTGTCTGATTCTCTCTTCAAAACCACCACTTTTATTTCTGATCTTAATTCCACCAGACGTATTGGCTTGCTAAACGCAAGCCACGCCTCCAATCCGCAAAGTCCAATTTACGAAATATAATTCGATCACGTGTGCACTCTGTTTACCGCCCCGCGCCGTACGTTGCACTGCTTTCGCCCTTCCGCTAGATCAAGTCCTCCGTTTTATGTCCTCTCAGTCACGAATCACGCCGCCATATTATGTCCTCTCAACCGATAGCCCCGTCGGGCAGGATTCGGAGTTTGAAGACAAATGAAGAGAATTTAAGGTATTATGGAGTTTCTAAGGATATTAATATTGGTTTTGGTGGATTGATTCTCATCTCTCAATGCAACACTACATCCGAAATTTGAACTTCCCTGACAACTGGATATAAAATGGAGGAACCGAGCGGCGAAAAGTAATGTGCACTCTCATCATCTAATATTCTCATATTAAGATTTCTCTACACTCGGTTGGGAGAGGAGGCACTGTTATCCATTTTTTTGTTATCTAAGGTCGCATCAACAGCTAGGTCATTAGCGACCACTATTGCATTTAACGGTATGGTAACTGGGAAGATGGCATAATATGGCGATGATAGTGGGTGAATGGACGAACACAAATACAACCATCCGCGAGGCGAGACTCGTACCCGCGATCCATGGGTCTGAGATCACATCGGCACTACTTACTGCCTTAACGATATCGCCCATCCGGACCGGGTGTTATCCAATTTTTGAAATTGAAGCTGCCGACTGTACAGCGCCGCCCCTGCAACTCGCCAAGTGCGGGGAAACGTCAATGGGAGAAGAGGGAAGCGATCTGCCGCGCACCTGCCCCGTAACTCGACTCCCCGGCGGCGCCGCCACGACGCGGTGAGCCTATTCAGCAGAACATTCCTCGGGCGGAGCGCAGCGCGCTCGTCAGGCCGCTCACGTCCCCGCGCCTCCAGCCGCGCGCGCGGAAGAAGGGGACGACGGAGGAGGCGGCGGCGGCGGTGAAATATCCTGGAGGAGGGGGAGCGGTAGAGGAGAAACAGAGGCGGTGGAGACGGAGGATGTGGAGAGGGCGGTGGAGATTGAGGAGAAGGAGAAGGAAGGGCAGAGAAGGGCGAGAACGAGAAAGAGACGGAGAAAAAGGAAGAGAGAGTACAAGGAAGAGACGGAGTAGAACGAAGAGATGGAGGAGAAGGAGATGGTGGTGGTGGTGGAGATGGCTGAAGGAAGGGCAGAGAAGGACGAGAACGAAAAAGAGACGCAGGAGAAGGAAGAGACGGAGGAGGAAACGCATGAGGGGAGGAAAGAGATGGAAGAGAAGGAAGAGACGCAGGAGAAGAAGAAGAAGAAGGAGAAAGAGACGGAGAGGGAGAAGAATAAAGATGGAAGAGTTCG